AAAATGTAATTTGGATTCGTAAGAAGTATTTCTGTTTTAAACTTACCTTTGCTGTCTGAAAAAGATCAATATTCATAGACGGGGATGTTGAAACCTATATTTCCTTTGAATGACCTGCATTTGTACTACGAAATGATCCTGTGGAGAAAAGTTGATGAATTCCAAACAGCTAGTTCTAGCCAATCTACTAGTATAAGCTTACTTTCTAAAAGTATTTCAATGTTAAAAATATCTATTCAAATGTTTCATTTTTAAAATGATCTTGGCTTCCCTTAACTTATATGTGTGACTTAATGAAGAATATATGCTGTTTACCACATCAAACTTAAGACGTAAACTTGGCAATTACTAGATCATGTTATAACGCGATTTTCTCTCATTTTCTACAAAAATGGTATGTTTTCGAACGGTCACTTATGTTAATCTATGACCGTGGTATGATTGAAAATGAAAGAACTGAACCAAGTATTGTCGACTTGTTTGAATTATAAGATTTATTTTGATCATGATTTAATCTCTTCTTGAATTTAAAACTTTTGTCCGAATTACATCTGCTATGGAATTAAAGTTCAAATATACCTCAGAATTGCTTATTGAATTAACCTAGCAATTAATTTGAAAATAATTCTTTACATAGGCTATATATCATAGATCATAGATATGTAAAAAATAAAAATGTGTTTTGAAAGATGAAATGATAACAAACGTTTTCGCACACGTGCCATTTCCACTTTCAGCCCGAAATCCCGTGTGACGTAATATAACGAAAATGCGCAGATAATTGATATTTTTCATTTTAATTCAACTCACATTGACCGTTCAGTTATGAACGTGTTTTAAGTTCTCATGTTAAAATAAATAAATATGTGGAAAGGCAATGGTTTAAAGCTCATGAAAATGTCAAAATCATAATTCAGTTTTTAAAATAAGATATTTACATGCATTTACGCACATGTGACATTATCTCTTTTTGTGCGATTCAAACATAATAAAATCTCATTACAGTTGTACATACAGACATAAGAACCAATCTCAGCCATGCCTTTCTAATAGAAGGAACTAAATTTGAATCAAAAAATAATTCTGTGTAAAGATGATTTCCCATAGATATAATAAATGTCAAAAATGTCAAATAATTTATCATGACCTTTTCCAGTTTTGCTCATTTAATTTACCTTGAAAACCAAGGAGACCGAACGCAATTTCTAAATACAACCTTGATACGTGTTCCAGGTCTATAATTGCATTTTCTCATGGAAGGAACCAAGCAAAAATTATAAAAATAATTCTGCGTAGAGGTGATGCTTTACAAATAATATTAATGTCAAAAAATTGATTCATTTCTTCAAAATTAAATACTGACACGCATTTACGCACACATGACCTTTTCCAGTTTTGCATATTTCATTTACCTTGAAAACCAATGAGACTGGACGCAATTGCCAAATACTTCTTTGATACGCGTGCCAGGTCTATAATTGCATTTTCTCATGGAAGGAATCAAGCAAAAATTATAAAAATAATTCTATGTTAAGGTGATGCTTCACAAATAATATTAATGTCAAAAAATTAATTCATTTCTTCAAAATTAAATACTGGCACGCATTTACGCACACATGACCTTTTCCAGTTTTGCTTATTTCATTTACCTTGAAAACCAATGAGACTGGACGCAATTGCCAAATACTTCTTTGATACGCGTGCCAGGTCTATAATTGCATTTTCTCGTGGAAGGAATCAAGCAAAAATTATAAAAATAATTCTATGTTAAGGTGATGCTTCACAAATAATATTAATGTCAAAACTTTAATTCAATTCTTCAAATCCAAATACTGTCACGCTTTTGCGCACACGTGACCTTTTCTTCTTTTGCTCATTTTATCTATCCTAAAAATCAGTGGGCCTAAATACATTGTCCGATACTTCTTTAATCACGGGGTACCATCGAATAATTTTGGCAACGTACCGGAGAACGACATTTTACTAAGAAATGGCAATAATTTAGCACAATATATTTTTTAACTAGAGTTCTATTTTGATTTTGACAAAAGTAAGTATTCCATGCAATAACTATTTCATTCATGAGTTTGTAGGAATTCTGTTGGAACCCAGTTCTGATCAAGTACGAAGTTATTGAAATCGGCGCAGACGGACTTTACTCCGAAAGATGGTTTTTCGATTATAACTTTTCACAACATTTAAGTATAGACTTTTGAAAAAAGTGTAAAGGTGATGTTCCAAAGACAATATATATGTCAATTTGATAATTCAGTTATTCAAAATGAAATATCCACATGATTTTACGCACACATGATAATTTCCTGAATGACGCTACTTTTTGGATTCAACCATGCATATAACGTCGTAAAATACACATTTCTACCGAAATTATGCCCAGCCGTTTTCGTAGAAAATGTAACAAATGAAGGCATTTTATCGGAACTGATTGATATTTGGTACTTATAGAATATCGTATTTACTCCAACTTTTAAGCGATTCAGATATTTAAAAAAATTATGTTTAATCAATGTTAATTTCGCACGAATATAGGGTACAAAATGAGTGAAAGTCTCACGTGTTTGATTGCATTTTACTCCCATTTATGTGCATTTTTCTAACATTAAAATGAGATAGTTGGAAAGGAGAGATCAGTAGAATTCTATCCGTCACTTTCATTTTCAAATGTTTAAATGTTTCCCGTTTCATTGGACCTCATAAAGATGGTAGCCAACAGACCAGAAACAAGTAGTGCGATGACGTCATATATCGCTACACCACTTTGATATAAAGTTTGGTAAACAACAATGGTTTTTTTCAATGTGTCGTCCTACTGTGTTAGGCAAATTGAAACTTCCCAACCTGGTGGTGCTACACGTGCAATAAGCCGACTTAAGCCTTCATTAGATGATGTTATGCCTGCGTGCGTGCTAAAACATAAAACTATTGACAAAAAACAAACAGTTTAAATGTGAATAAACATTTCTTCTTTTGATGCCAAGGGGTATAATACAGTAGATTATTTATTTTTCTTCTTGAAAAGGAAAGTCAAGCTAATTCCTAAACATATCTAGTACTGACTAGTACTGCAGTGATTCCAGTTCACTGTGTTAACCAGATCGCAGCGTTTCTTGAATATGAGAATGTCATCATTTTAAGACTGGATTTTCGGTCATCAGATCACAATTACGGTAATGTATGGTGTGTTAAAGCTTTGGAATGTGATCAAAATATACCCTGGTGCTCTAATTTTGACTCAACTAACATGTCTGGCTAAAAGTGGTTTGACCAGTAGAATGACAAATATGTTTATGAATTTTGATAAATAGAACAGCTCCACAGCTACGTACAGCTCTTCCTAATTGCTTCAAAGAACAACAGCCAGCCAAGTACAACATGGATATCACACCCATCAAATGGTATACTCGAAATAAGTAACTTATACCTCTTATTCTCATTATCATGGGGAAATCATCAGATGACTCATCTTTACCAGCCACCATTTTTCCTACTCCGAAGCATTTCTTTGTTCAGTTTCAGTAATGAAATGCTCCATCGTGCATGTAAGAACGTTTGGCTTGGACACCGTGGATTCTAGTCTATGAACTTTTATGTTAGTCTCAGATTTAACTTTACACAAAATACCTATATAACGCTATATATACTACAACGCTATAGAATGAATTACACTACTATACATGTATTTTCACAATTTCATTTATATTAGATGTAAACTACACATATTAAGTACGAGGGTTGTCCAAAAAGTCCAGACATTTTTTGAACATTTGTTGCTCACTTTGTAAAGTTTAAAATAATTACACTGCATGGTTTTATTTTTATGAACATTAAAAGAGTATGAGTCTTGCCCCACCAGAACACTTTTAAGTAGGCTAAAATCAAGACATAATCATCCAATCACTTGTTCTTGAGGAATCGCTTGTTTTCCTCGAAACGCTCCATCGATTTTGGAAACAATTTTAGAAATGCTCTTACCATTCTGTTTTGATATCATATTCAGATTATTAGAGAGGAGTTTGGAATCGAATCTATCTCTCAAAAACGTGTTGTACTTGAAACTTCCCAACCTGGTGGTGCTACACATGCAACAAGCCGACTTAAGCCTTCATTAGATGATGTTATGCCTGCGTGCGTGCTAAAACATAAAACTATTGACAAAAAACAAACAGTTTAAATGTGAATAAACCTTTCTTCATTTATGCTAAGGGGTATAATACAGTAAAGTCAAGCTAATTCTTAAACATATCTAGTACTGACTAGTACTGCAGTGATTCCAGTTCACTGTGTAAACCAGATCGCAGCGTTTCTTGAATATGAGAATGTCATCATTTTAAGACTGGATTTTCGGTCATCAGATCACAATAACGATAATGTATGGTGTGTTAAAGCTTTGGAATTTGATCAAAATATACCCTGGTGCTCTAATTTTGACTCAACTAACATGTCTGGCTAAAAGTGGTTTGACCAGTAGAATGACAAATATTATGAATTTTGATAAATAGAACAACTCTACAGCTACGTACAGCTCTTCCTAATTGCTTCAAAGAACAACAGCCAGCCAAGGACATGGATATCACACCCATCAAATGGTATACTCGAAATAAGTAACATATACCTCTTATTCCAATTATCGGGGAAATCATCAGATGACTCATCTTTACCAGCCACCATTTTTCCTACTCCGAAGCATTTCTTTGTTTAGTTTCAGTAATGAGATGCTCCGTCGTGCATGTAAGAACGTTTGGCTTGGACACCGTGGATTCTAGTCTATGAACTTTTATGTTAGTCTTTAACTTTACACAAAATACCTATTAGCTCCCAAGTCTCTCAGTATCAGCATAAAATAGTTGAACCATATCAGACAACTGGATTTGAGTTATTACAAAAATGGTGGCCATTTAGAATGAGTGGCCATAATGAAAAAAGGGAAAATATTTCTTTGATCATGCTTTATTTATGATACAAGTTTTTCTGAATTGCAGTTGGTATGCTAAACTTTTCAAAGAACTATACCACATACAAAAGTCTCCACATGGGCCCATCCCCTGTGGTGCAATCAACATATACAACTGATGGTAGAGGGCGCTGGTTTCCACTCACTTGTCGACCAAGACAAAGAACTGTTATAGTCATTCCATTTAGAGACAGAGATGACCATCTTAAAATATTTCTTGATCATTATGTTCCAATTCTTCAAAGACAGCTGTTAGATTACACCATCCTTGTTGTTGAACAGCAGGTAAATATATTATCATATATCATATCGTTTCCTCATTTGAACTCTTTTTATTACCCATTCATGTCACTTACTGGAATTACACCAGAAAAAACGCTAAAAGCGCGTTAGTGGAAAGCGCTTTACAAAATCGGCATCCTGATTACACTAACATTTCTAAAGCGCCTTTCGTGCACTTTTAGCAATGTAGATATGGAGAATATCCAGCAGTTGTGTACATTTACTGTAACAATAAATGTATTCTTTTAGCATCTCAGAGAAAACGTAACCGAGACTTTTGCCAGTGGTGTGAACTAACTTTGAAGTTTTGCGATATAATTGATTGCCTATTGCTTTTTTGGGTCCCATTCATCATTTCCTCTATTTTTGCGGTGGCCTAAATGTGTAGCATTGGGAAATATGTCTTATTTGGTTTAGGGCAAATGATAAAAAAAAACGGTAAGGCGTTTTACAAAAACCGATCGGCATAACATTGCACTATACTCCAAAAGCGCCTAAGGATTTAAGGCGTTTTTTAGTGACTAGGGTTCTAGGAGTTTTGGTAAAGCGTTTTTGTAAATCTGCAATCGTGATTACACCTATTTTTAAAACCGGGTTAAAACCTTAGGTCTGTTAGGCGCCTTTCTAAAACGCATGGTGTAATTCCAGCAACTCATACACAGATAATATTACTTGACTCTCTAGTCAAGGCGAGAGATCATTACATCGGTTCACTTTGTTCTCTAGAAAACGATTTGCTAAATGTTTTTCAAAAATATTTGTGAGACTGAATGGAAATTTCATTGAAATTAAAACTGAATATGTCACGTAAGAGATATATGATTTCATGATATAAATATCAATGCTATCGTACACATGTAAATAAAGTATACATGTATTGAATTTTATTTTGCTCTATCACGAAAATGGTCTTATTCCTAAATTAGTGAAACCACTGCACAAAACAATGCAATATTACATTGGATTATAACAGGGTCTGGATTGGCTATTAAAATTGATTCATCAAGCCAATTTTCATTCATTTATTCAACACTGATCTTTTGGCAGGATTTCACTCGCAGATTCAACAAGGGAGTTATGTTCAATGCCGGCTACAAAACAGCTCTCTCCATGACCGATGAGGATCAAGTTCCTCTATGTTTGATACTGCATGACATTGACCTACTCTTAGAGAATGATCGGCTGACTTATGAGTGCTCGCAACATCCAACTCACCTCTCTGTTGGAATTGATACAATGGAATATCGGTTGGTCTACTCTCTTAAGATTGTAAATTTTACCATCATATAATCAAGGAGGATTGGCTCCCAGGATCCCAACTCAATATTTTTCAACAATGAAAACGTCAAAATGTTGTTACTTCCTGAAATAATAACCGACTATAAAATCAAAATAAACAGTCTAAAAGATTCGAACCAATATCTTGATCATTTCTTGTGGAATTTTTCGTTTGGAAATAAGACCAAAAAGGCAGCTATTTGAATTCAAATTTTGTAATCAAGACATGCCCATATATGGCAAAAATATCGATGTTGCACTCTGGGAGCCAATCCTCTTTGCATATATTCTAGATTAACCAACATTCTGTTTATGTGACATGATATACTGATGCTAGATTTATTTATTGTAGCATGCCTTACACTGTGCAAAAAGCCAAATATAGTAGCGTATAAGTGGCAAACTATTTGTGAATATAGTTAAGTATGTCCTCACTATATTGTATTCGGTATGGGAAACAAACTATTCTTGCCTCAGAAGCGGAACATTTAGTATTGGTGGTATATACTCTACGATACTAAATATCGTTTGAACTATTCTCCGATTATTCTTAAGAGCCAGGAATAGTAGGATATAAGTACATAGAAAAGATGAGTATAGTATGCATTACGTAATCCAAAAACAAACTATACGCCTCTTATACGCGAGGCTATATATTCTTTGATGTGCCTTAATTTGCTTGGAGTTAATCCTATTTTATTTTTCAATTAAGCGCTAATGTAAACAAATAAAATCATGCATTTCACTTGAGAAAGCTTAATCAAACTTAATGTCTGAGATCTCATTTAAAATTTTATGATGTTGAAGTATATGATTTTAGATGAACTTTAAATGAATTTTAAAAATGTAAGTCAATAGAAAAAGTGGAATAAAAAATTTGGGTATATTTCAAATATAAATCGGTAAATTATTTATTTTCCATTTTGAGTAAAATAAGCGTGTATTAATTTGAAGTTTGTTTTTAGTCTTACCAAAAATCAGTAGCAATTTCGGTGTAGTTAAAATTAAAATGAGGTAAAGCGTATCGTGATATCTTTGTTCTTTGTCAGTTTTAAATTGAGACAATCCTGACTTTCCTATGACAAATTAGACCCCTTGTCAGGGAGGGGGTTCGGAGGTTTAGAGTGAAGCCATCTGGAGGAAAATTAATTGTTGTATAATTATGTGGCAGAAGTTGATGATGATAATGCATTTTTAAATTTTAAAAAGAAAACAATATTCAAATGTATGAAATAAAATAAGGAATCGGTATAAAATCCCCGGGATTAAATATTATGAATGATGAGGGATTGCGCTGAACGAAAACTTATTTTTGTATGGAAATCATTAGGTTACATGTACAATTTATAACATATATAATAGTACGGATCAACCTTATCAACAAGTGTCACAAAACGATACAGAACAAAACACAAAGTTTAAGTAACAGGATCTTAAGAGGTTCTGGACAAATCATTTGATTCTGGACTTGACATATTTTTTTTCCAACGAAATCACATCCAAGGGTTGAATTTTTATTGGATATTTAGAGAGCGAGTCCTGTATTGATTTCAATAAAAAGGTTAAAATAGAACGCTATTTGAGAGTTAATCTTATACTTTCATCACATTGATAAATTAAGGCAAATTCTGAAAAATTTTAAAGTGCATTTTTTATGAAATATTATCCAAGTATTTAGATGAAACGGTCTTATTTAAATACAAATCATAACATGATGATATTTTTTCATAAAATATTTCTTCAAGAAATTCAATTGAAGGCTCAAGATAAAACGAGCTAATTTAGGTGAAAACCCTTACATGATGATGTGTTTTCATGACTTCTTTCATAAAATTCCATCAAGGGGTGAAAATAAAATGATCGAATTTAAGTGATTTAAGGATCACGAGGATAGGTTTTCTTGGATATTTTCTATGAAATCCCATCCAGTGGTCAAGGTAAAATTTTTATTTGGTATATTTGGTCACGTGTTCGAACCCATAGAACCATATAGGAACGTCATTTTGAATGTTACGTGATAAATCCATATAAGGCTTTTAGAACAATGTGGGGAAAGATGAGGGGAAACCCCTGACACCTGTTCACGATTTTATCCGAACGTTCATCGGATCATTTCGGTTTTTATGCACTTCATTATTTTACCGAAGTTTGCCGATTCGATTCGTCGTATTTCGGAATATTGGGGACAATTTTATACTCCATTGGGAGTATTTTTAATCTACTTCTTATTACGAAGATTCCCGAACCTTGTTCGGATTAATCCGGATTTTCTGACCTACTTCATCTACCGAGATTTAACGAGTTTACATTCGGCTCATTTCGGAATCCTGGTGACAATTTTATACTCCATTGGAGTATTTTTGATCTACTTCTCTGGATTTTTGATCTACTTCTTATGACGAAGATTCTCGAATCAGTTCGGATTAATCCGGATTTTCTGACCTACTTTATCTACCGAGATTTAACGAGTTAACATTCGTCTCATTTCGGAATCCTGGTGACAATTTTATACTCCATTGGAGTATTTTTGATCTACTTTTTCTGGATTTTGCCCTACTTATTATAAGTTGACAGCAAGCAAATCAAAAAGTTCGCCATGAACGGGTTTCGATCGACTAACCTAGAGAGTGGAAGCTAAACACGCTAGCCATGAGGCTAACGTTCACCTGTGTGAGATGATAAAAGTATCATATATTTATACCGAGCGTCAATTTAGAATGATCTTCGCTTTTGACTCCACTTAGATACAACTCGTCAGTTGTATCCAGAATAGGTGAACGCCTATGGTGTTAGTGAATAACCAAATCCCAGGCGAGTGGTTCGTATCCCACCGTGATATGTTATGTTTTATTAATACGACAGAAAGGAGCAAGGTGTAGGTTTGAAAACAAGACGTACGTTTATTTCAATACAGTTTTAGAAACATTAACCTCTGATAATTGAAGGATTTCCACTTCTGAAGCGCGACTAGATCTAAGAAGTTCATTAATCAAGACAGTGTAAACCTTTTAGATATATGTTAGACAATGTACACGCCCCGTGTGGAATCAACTAAATGTTACATTTTGGATTTCATTGAGATCCTGTCATAGTCCTAAAATTTATTTTTCTGGAACATCATTTTTTCAACACTGATACAAATTTCCCTGACATTTCCATGACATGTCTACAGTTTTAAAATTCCCGGACTCTTTGGCCCTTTTTGACCTTATTTTAAAATTCTCTGACATTTCAGGCACTTGGAAAATTAAATCAAAACCCTGACATTTCCAGGTGTGTACGAACGCTGGAATTATTCTTAAAATATCCTTCAAACAAAAGGGGAAAATGCTATGCACAAATACTCTAATTTAGTTTGTATTGTAATGCGTTGTATTACATTGCATTGCATTGTATTGTGTATTTATTTGAGTGTCCGTTGACGGTAAAGAAGGCATTTAAAAGTAATTTGTGAAACTTAATAAACTTAATAAACAATACTTTAACAGTATTCTGTTATGGCAAAGTATATTTCATTTTTTCTCTTAGTCTCTACAATCTGCGTTGAGGACACTGAAGCATATGTTTGTATTTTGTTGGTGGGGAACAGCGTATCCTATCGTTCACGGAGCAAATTCAACTCTCGTTCACGAGTACCTTGTTTTTGGGCTCTTGTCCCAAAGATAACGATTGTATAAGGTTGCATAATCAGGATTATGAGCTTTCATGTTCTCATAGTTACATCTGTTGTAAAACGAATCTTGTCGCAACCTCTGCGAATCACGACAGCATAACATTTGAATCACGTTGACATCATTGCAAAATTAGGCTAAATATGCTAAGTCAAGACGTTAATTAGCCCACGAAAGTTCATGGGTAACTTGAGAACTACAAAATACAACCAAATACTTTTCGAACGTACAATAGCAATATTTCTCACCTAACGTCTTCATAGTTTTAGGAACGTATTTTAAACGCATGATAGCCAAATATATCAAGATACTATATCTGCCTAAATGAAGTTATCTAGTGTTTACAAAGTTTTGAAATATATTATATCCAGATCCATCAGAAATTAACTTATCCATTTACATTACTTTACTAGTTCTAGTATCTTGCATGACTCGTTCATAAGAATTCTTTAATTCTACCTCGTTCCCAATACGTCCTCAGACAGACAAGAAATTGAAGTCACACCCGTTTGTTTGCGTGGCATATTTATACGTATACGCACTTTCTCTGATTATTGTCAAACAAATACATTTCAGGAGAAGAACATAAAAAACAAATGCCTGAAACGAATGCCGAAACATAAATCCCAAGTGATTAAGTATAGAATGTTTTATTCTTTTACGATTTGATAAGAGACCGAGACTAAGAAATTAAATGCGACGAAATATTTTGACAACGTAATTTGTATACTGTTTTATTCTTAAAGTTCTATGCGATAAATTATTTTATCTGTTTCAAAATGTTTCATTTTATTTTGCCTATATAAAAGAGATTGAAGAAGATAAGATAAACTGTTCCGTAATATATATTGTGTTTTAATAACCTTTTTTTAGAATCACAATGTAAAATAAATCTCCCGTTCCTGCCATTCTGGTAACGCCATGCAATGGATGCAATTCAAAGTGAGAGAGAGATCTATGAATAACAGAATGCGTCCATGCCATTAATTTGGCCAAATACATGGCATGAAACTGACGTAAGTTTAAGTAAGCTACGCCCCCCGCTTTCTCTGGTAAATTATGACTTTATTTTTCGGAGTAATGGGTTTCGGACAACTGGGTTTCGGAGAACTGGGGTGTACCCGATTACGCTTTGCACGCCGCTTTAAAATCCCGATGTCTCCAGAGGTAGTTTAATCCGGTAGCCGACAGGCGTTTCTTGCATTATTGAATACAAGCTAACCTTATATTCGCGAATGCAACTAACGCCTTCCGGCTACCTGATTAACCCAGTATAATATGACCAAGTCATTTAAATATGAA